AAAAAAAGGCGGGTAAGTCGTGGATGTCTGTCAAAATTAAAATTTGAATGCTTGTAAAAAAAATTGTGACTATGTATTTCTTTTATTTTTCAACTGCTCTTATTATATAAATAAGCTCTTATAAATCAAGATTTGAAAATTTAATTCTAGATTGCTTATAAGTTTGTCTACATTTATCAAAAAAAAAAATGAGTTATAATAATCTATAATATATCCTAGACAGATAAAGGCGTCTCCGCTCAAAATCGTTTTTCACATACAATGATATAATATCATTGGATTCAAATTTAATTCCATCCATTACAGTAACCCACTTGTAACCTACTGTACAGCAAAGCGATATCCACTTTCCTGCTTTTTTTTTTTTTTGAAATATCATTGTTTTTGTTAATTATAAAATTAATCTAGACGTAAAAATCATTTAAATTCAAAAACTTTAAACATTTATTAAATATTTAAAATATTTGATGATCATTTTTGATAGTTACTGTTTAAAAATTAAATATTTAAAAAATAAATATTACTTCTTAAATTAAGAGGCTGGCCCGTTCTGGTAACAAAATTCAACCCTAAAAACATGCTTTCCTACTTCACAATTTCCTMATCCCTCGATAGTCATAGAAAACATGATTTTTCTACCTCAATATAATTTGAATTTATTTCATCTTTATATTAAATACAAATTTTATCATTCATTATTATATAAACTCGTGTAATTATAAACATTTCGGTTACCTATATTATACATAAGCATGTAAAGAAGTTTATACTTATATGAGTTATATGTCTAAATTATTATTAATTCATTTTATACGATGCTTGTTATGTGCCAGGCATGCAGCGTATGCTTGTATGCCCGCGATACGGGTACCTACCATTTTAATAATTTTAAATTATAATCCACAACAAAATATGATAGTAATTTTTTTTTTTTTTAGGGTTAAGGCTTCGACAACTGAGGTCATTAGCCTGGGGGAATTGTAGGGGAAGGTACTGTAGGTTTTAAACACGTGGGTATTTTGGCAGAATTTTGAATGGGCACTCGTAGATTTCTGCCATGCCCGGTTGGGGGGCAGCGGCCTCTCACTCCAGACACCGCGAAATGCCCAAAGAGCGATGCCGCCCGTGACCGAGGTTCGAACCGGCGACTGCGTGCATGGCAACAGACACCTTAGTCCGCTCGGCCACTCCACCCCCCTAGATAATAATTTATAGGTAGAAGAAACATTCTTTTTAGTTTTAACAATTTAACAGTTCAAAGTATTGGTGGAACATACTAAAAATAAATTGGTGGATTATGATCAGTGGAAAATTTTTCAGGCATTCTCAGCATGCTTATAGGAACAAAAACGTTATTAATAAAATTATTTT